TCAAATCTGAAACAGAGGAAGCAATCATAAACTTCATAAAAACCGTCAAAAACACAACTTCCAGAAAGGTCAAACAAATCAGATCTGATAACGGCAGAGAATTCCTTAACAGAAACCTAAGGACATTTTTAAAGGATAAAGCTATTAACCATCAACTGACTAATTACTATTCCCCTGCCCAAAACGGCATGACAGAAAAGGCCAATAGAACTCTTGTCGTGGTACTACCGTGCTACCGATAAAAGTGGAACTGCCAAAAAACTTCTAGGCTGAGGCAATGAATTGCTTCACTTATGTACAAAACAGGACACCCACCCAGAACGACATGAAGGGGTTCCCCGAGGAATTGTTCTCGGGAAGAAAACCCACTATAGAACACGTAAAAGTATTCGGCTGTAAGGCATATTATTGGATTTTCAAAATGAGAAGTAAACTTGATTCAAAGGCGGAACTAGGAATCTTCGTGGGATATTCATCATGTACGAAGGCGTACCGAATAATTGACCCTGCCACTAAGACAGTAATTGAGTCGCGTGATGTAAAATTCCCAGAAAACCAAAAAGGCAAAGACCTCCAAAAACAATGAAATCCAACGCAGGTCCATATCCTAATTGATATAGAGAGAGTGCACCGATTTAACTTCCACAGTCCAGGATATAGAGGATAAAGAAATTACAAATTCTGATAATCAAATACAGACAGATTACGATCTAAATGAACCTATAGAGGAAAACCACCCTCCAACTGAAGGAAAAAGACCTAGATCATCTGTACACTTCTACTAAGAACCGTTTCTAAGTGACTCCGATGTCGAAGAAGGAAGACACAAACGATCCAACATACCATCCCAACAACAGAGTCCTGATATCAGAAAGCAAACACAATCCCGAACAGCTACAAGGAAGCAATGAATCTACCAAGCAGGGACAAATGGATAGAAGCCTGCAAAAGGAGATGCACTCACTAAAGACTTATAATGTATGGGAAACTGTAACCCTACCAGTGGAAATAAAGCTCATAAAATGCAAATGGGTATACATCAAGCTCGACCCCCTGACCTCATGCACAAAAAAGGCCACACTGGGAGCCACAGGTTGCTCCCAAAAATTCGGGATAGATTTCCATGAGACGTTCTCACCTGTTATAAAAGCCGACAGCCTAAGAGGACTTTTGATATACGTCGCGATACGCGACTACTACGTAAACCACCTAGACATAGAAACTAGTGATGTAACGAATATTCGGTTACTATTCGGTATTCGGCCTATTCGGCCTATTTTTCACTATTCGGCCGAATACCGAATATTTAATCACTATTCGGCCGAATACCGAATACTTAAAAACAGGAGTAATAAATAACAAAAACACAGTAAATTAATCATTTTGGTATTTAGAGTTAATGTTATAGAGCAGGGGTGTCCAACCCGCGGCCCGCGGGCCGCATGCGGCCCAAGGCAAGTTCCAATGCGTCCCAATAAACGTGTAAACAAAACCGACAAAGTGTTTTAAGTTTTTTATTATTTATTTATTTCAACGGCATAAACTCAAAAAAAACAGTTTCACAAAGCCGTAAACCTTTATTCGTATTTTATTCTTGAGTGGAAAGGAAATATTTTCAAATACTTGGAAATGTGTGAATGAGGAAGGATTACTAAATAAAGCTGGAATTGTGACTCAAAGGATTATAGACCCAAATTTGGGAAAAGGAGGAAAAGATGAGAAAAAACAAAAGATGTAGTAGTGAGAAAGGTTAAATAGATCTTCTGTTGACCCTTAATTTTCCAACCTTTCTCACTTTTTTATCTTTTGTCCTTTCTCTCCTTTCCCTGCACTTGGGTCTATAATCCTTTGATTCACAACTCCAGTATTATTTACTATTTTTTCCAACGTTGCAAGATTTGGCTACATTGCGCCAAATGTGGCTACTTTTTTTGTTCGATGCAAAAAATATCATTTGGCGCTTTGGCTACTTTTTGGGCTACCTATTATTTATATTAGTTGAATAAAAATGCACTTTAAAATGGTGTTTCGTTGCTTTTTATTAATTAGAGACCCAAATATAACAAACGTCTGTGTCTTTCAAATAAATTTCCGTTTGTCTCTTTTATAATAAATGAATTTATCTATTTCTAAGTAAAAATTGAAAGTGTCTGTAGAAGTAATTTTTAAAATATCCTTTTTCTTGATAAAGTTTTAATACTTATTATTATAATCTAGACATGTTAATCCTTAAATATACTTGTATATTGGACCACAAGTATATATGTACTGTACTTGTGGCCAGTGGCGTAGCGTGGGTGTCAGCCCCCCGGGGAAAAGGAAAATTTCGCCGTCCCCTTATTTAGGTATCTCAATTTAAAAGACTAAAATTCAGTTTCGTCACAGAATAAGTAATGAAAAATTCCGTGCTAATGTTGCCACCTTTTTAAAATCGCCTACCCGGACGGCAGGTGAGGTTTGTTCCAACAGAAGTTCTTGACGCATGCGTATATCATTTTACAATGCGAAGAATAATTTGCGGTGCATACCGGTTCTAAATCAGTTACGGTTAGCGACTAGGGAGACTTGGATAGGAGTAACGCAAGTGACCTAGCCCTATTGGATATTGGAGGTGTATATGATTACAAATGAATCGTACAATCAAAGAAAAAAAACAAAAAACAAAAATAAAAAAAAAAGGTCAACAGGTTGCGCACGATATCCCCGAACGGCGAGTCGATTCGCGGACTATCCGGATGGATGGTAACACTATTGCCGTGCTCATTTCAATCAGTCCGAGTCGTAGGTGGACGAAAATATGAAATAAAATGGTTCAAATTCTTACAAGATATTATTATTATTTATTGTGAAATTTTGCCGCCCCCTAAAAAAGTGCAGCCCTGGGCGGCCGCCCCTGCCAACCCCCTACGCTATGCTACTGTTTTTGGCCCAAAACTCCTTGACTTCTTCCAATGCAGCCCAGAGAAACAAAAAGGTTGGACACCCCTGTTTTAGATGATCTCAAACACAAATTTAACAAAAGATAAAACATGAAATCAAATGTATTATTTTACTGGATATCTTTTCATAACTCCAGTGCAACTTCATATTTGATTGAATATGTAGGAATCTGAGGTTAAAATTGTTAATTTTTTAAGGATTTTTTTGTTGTTTAGTCTTTAGAGTCCTGATGAGCTTATGAAGTCCTTTTCAACATGGGGAATGTTCTCAGTTACTGTTGATATGGTAGCTAACATAGTTGTACATTTTTCTTATCACACACTGTGTACTGGTGTTTCTTGAGGTGTCTTGGGAAATTTGCAAGATGTAGCCTATATACTTGCTGATGCAATTCTTGTAGCATAAGATGAATAGTATCTCATATACACAGGAGAGTGTTTTTATCAATGGGATACTTGTCTTTATTTAGGAAGCTAAGACAATTTACCTTTGAGGTTTTCATTACGAGAGTGTGCACACATTGTACTGATGTAAGAGTGATGCTAGAAGAGCTGGATAGAATTAGAGGCATCATTGTATAAGGATTGTTGCCCGAAGCATTATCAATAAAATAGAACTTCAAATTTTACAGACAACTGGAACACACCAAAGAACCTGAAATAAATTCCAGTAGAAGTTCAATTCAAGTAAACTGTGAACAAATATTTTTGATCTTTACGAGAGATCTTCATCAGATCCAATGTTCTAATTTACAATGCAAGAAAAAGAACTGTTACNTTGACGGCCGCGAATTTCGCGCCAATAAGCTACTTCGACTCGTTCGATTATGTTATCGACTCAATTTCATATTTATTTTCACATTTTCGCTTCGAGGTCCTTCTCTGTTCTTTCTCCGTTATTTACACGTGTAGGACATTTCATTGTTATCCACATTTGATATCATTACTTATCACATACTGCCATGACGCTCATGTCTGTCCGCTTCAATTGTCAAGAATTAACGCGATTGGCGAAGCGTAGTGACAGCGGGCCAACAGAGAGCGGGTCCTTGCCATAATGCGGTTTGCGCGCCAATTTCCGTACGTGCGATAATCGAGCCGAATAATTTGGCCGAATATTCGGCTATTCGGCCACGCTCCTGGCCGAATATTCGGTATTCGGCCTGAGGCCGAATATACTATTCGTTACAACACTAATAGAAACGGCATATCTGTACGGAAAGTTAAACGAAACAATATATATGGACCAACCCAAGGGATACGTAGAAAATACGAAAATCCAAAAGCAGGCATGCAAATTGAATCAAGCCATATACGGATTAAAGCAGAGCGGCCGAATCTGGTATCAAACACTTAACAAATACCTAACAGAGATCGGCGCAAAGAATTTCCAATCCGAAAAGTGTGTATATGTCTATAAAAGCGACATTACGAATATTCGGCAAACTATTCGGCTTGATTAACGCACGTATGAAAATTGGCGCGCAAACCGCATTATGGCAAGGATCCTGCTCTCTATTGGCCCACTGTCACTACGCTTCGCCAATCGTGTTAATTCTTGACAGTTGTAGCGGACAGACATGAGCGTCATGGCAGTGTGTGATAAGTGATTATATCAAATGTGGATAACAATGAAATGACCCACACGTGTAAATAACGAAAAAAGAACAGAGAAGCACCGCGAAGTGAAAATGTGAAAATAAATATGAAATTGAGTTGATAACATAATCGAACAAGTCGAGGCAGCTTATTGGCGCGAAATTCGCGGCCGTCAATGCCAAATAATTGCTGTCATAGACTTCGGAAAGCTAAATGCTTGTAATGAAAGTCACTTAGCGTACACGGGCGAAAGCCTGGGGCTGTTCGGGCTACCAAGCTGTCTGGAATCTGAAATCATAACTGTGACTTATACCGACGACTTATCTCGCTCTTTTCTCCGTTATCACCAAGCTATGATTCACGTAATTGTAAAATGGGAAATCTAAGACGGAAAAGTGACGAATCGAAAGTATCTTGCGCGCACGTTATGATGCAAGCATAGGCATACATACGTTCTTTTATATACGAGTATATAGATGACTAAACTACATAATAAGTAGGAAGTTTTCATTTGATTTGTTACCTTTTTCTGGTCTCTTAAAAAAATAACTTAGTTAATTTAAAGTCGGTAGATTAATCTACCGACTCTGGTTATAGTAAAGACTAGAGTAAAGAATACCCGGTTAGTATATTGTATTAAATTAAATTTTATAATAAATTTAATATAATAATAATTATTATTATAATAAATTTGTTTTTTAAAAATATTTGATTCGCTTTTGTGGAGCGTGCTATCAGATATAGGCTTAACCAGTCTTGTTTTAATTACGCAGAGGGCGTTGCTGCTGTGAAAGGAAGAAACATGGCGCTGTACACAGCTGACTGGAACCCGTTGGGACGGGATTCTTTCTATCGGTGAGAATGTTCGATAGAATCGTTTTGAAACAAATTCTTTAAAACAGTATAATGTTTATAGCTGATCCTGTTAAACTACCTGCAAAATAATGAAAATATTATTTGAATAATTATAAATTTTTAAGAGAATTTATCTTGCTTATCTTTTTATCTTCGTTAAATGGCAGCGTAATTGGTGTTATATTTCCAAGTGCATTATAAATTATGAATATACTTTACACTTTCTGCGTAATTTGAGTAAAAGCTGATTTTAAAATATACAAAATAATATATCTTTTGAAGTGTGTTAAAGATTGTTAATTAAAATGAACAAACCCGGCATCATTTTTAAAGTCGACATATTTGCGTATTAAAGACACTGAAACCACCGAAACCATATCTGCTGGCACAAAATGTTATTTGTTCTTCAAAATCACATGACAACTCTGTTCTGTTTCTACATTAACTTCTTTCCTACAACATGATATTTTATTTTTACAAACTTATTTTCCTGACACTTTACTAATCATTTCTTTGTTTTTACAAGCCTTTTAACAACAGCAATTCCCAATCAGTTATATCTCTAGAGGTGTTCCAGCATGACGAATATAACACACAAGTACAAACATCACAAATGACATTGCAATAAAACAAAGAACAATATGCAAATTAAAAATCCCAGAAGCCCAAGGAATAAACAGAGTGAAACCAAATCCTAAAATTATAAAATATCACTGAAAACTTACAGAATAAAACTATCCTACATATTAATACCAAAGAAGCATTATAAAATATAATAATATAAATTTCTCATTAGTCTCTGCCCAGACTTTATTCCTTTCCACTTCATAATAACTTTGCCTCTGTTCTACCCTGTCTTCATATCAAGTGTAATTTTTATTTATGCTTGTCTCTTAATGTCTATTATAAACACAAAGAAAAAGAGTAAATTACTCTCTTTTCAGCATGCTCCGTTATTATAGTGAAGTGCTTATATTAGAATTTTTGTGTGTCTATCAGATGTTATGTTCTGTTCAATCCATTCATTGCACATGTCCGTGTGCAAGAGGGAACTGAACATTTTCATTTATGTGTAAGCTATAGTAAAAAATTCTTCTGAACAACTACTTGATTTCAAGAATTTATAAAATTTATTTTAAACAAAATTAATATTTGATTTGCTTTTGTGGAATGTGCTATCAGATTGGCTTGACCAAACTTGTTATCATATACTTTGGCTCATTGCACTTTCCAAATGACTCATTTAGCTAATGTGATTATCTAATTTAACATGTAATCATTCTGTTGTATGTTATAATTATATTGATATTTAATATTATTCCACAATATTACCTTTTTTCATTTTCTACTTTTTAAGGTGGTGTCATTGTTAAGCAGATGTGACTTTACATTGTTAATAAATGTTTTTGGCTTGTTTAACTTCCTGTTAGTGAATAAAACAGTACTATTTATTTTTTAATGTATAACTTAAAAGGTATATTTTATATTAGTATTTAAGGAACTGAAGCATTTGATATCCAGTATGAAATTTATACAAAAACATGTTTTCAGCTAATTTAATTAGTCATCGTTATGTTCAAATGAAACACAGAAAGAGATTTAAATTCTAGAACTATATTTATAAGTTCACAAGAACTGGATTCAAGAAATTATTTATATTTTTGAACATACTTGAATACATTTAAAATTTGTTTAAGCTATAGAACATGCAAAACTTAAAACTTTTATAATAGTTATTTTTTTTGTTGCATTTTAAATAATTATAAAAAGTAAGAGTTTAATGTTATAATAACCTCCATGTGTTGGATATGATCCCAATGTTTCTATTGTATTTTTTAACTATGTTTGTAAATTTAAAGCAATTCAGAGTGCTTAGCTAATACTGAGTTATAGACTGGCCTAATTGAGAAAGCCTTAATTAAGGCCAGTTAACTCTCTTTCCCAATATATCACATTGTCTTGTTGGACCACAAATGTTAGAAGTGATGTTGAATAAAGAACTTTTATTCAACATCCCTTTTAACATTTGTGTTTGATTCACATTCATGTTTGATTCACTTCTTCACTAGTACAATGTGCACAAACACAATGGGTCATTTATTTAAACATGCACTACTTGGAAACTCGAACGTAAAATTGGTCTATTTTGAGGTCCAACCAAAATCGTTTGCAAAAGCCAAGAATCTGATCAAGTGGAGGAGTCCAATCACACATTCAAAGAGACAAAGTAATACACAAGTTAGATCTATCTATTAGCTGGTGTAAGTATTAAACTGAGCATAAACGATATTTTCATATTTGTTCTATAGTGATGCAAGATAGATATTTTTCTTTTGCTTCATATTTTATCTCAAATTTTGGGTTACTGTTTCAAAACAATGAAGTTAGTAGAAGTAATTGGTTTGTTAGATAGAATGGAAAATACATGTGAAAATTATTTAGAAGAAAATTTAGAAAAATGTTTATTTTTTGAGATATTTGAATCACTGTATATGTTATGGCAAGGATCCTGCTCTCTATTGGCCCACTGTCACTACGCTNTGTTATACATTTGTATAATTCTGATGAAATTATTATTATTATTATTATTATTATTATTTTGTTACTATGTTCAGGTCTCTCTAGATTAAAATTGAAATTTAGTTTAAATTTCTATAATGTTAATTGTAGTTCATTTTTACATTTCTAATTTTTCAAAATAGGTGAAGAAAATTAAAATAATAATAATATATATTTTTAATTTATCAGATTTATTTAAAGATAAATTTATATTTAGTATTATTGTTGAATTACTGTATTTGAAATTTATTTGTTGAATAGAAAAATAGAACTTTATGAAATGAATTGGGGTGAACAAGTAAATCTTTCAGAATTTATTGTTGCTGCTGCTTCCTGTGGAGGACCAATTGGTAAGTTTGTCAAAAATATTAATGGCTTTAAATTTTTTTAGTTAACATTAAACAAAATTAAATATGCTTCTAAACAGAGTTTTATCTATAAACACAATTTAAATGAGAACTTATATTTATAGCTTTATTTAAGTTTTAAAAATATGGATAGAATGATGATTATAATTATTATTTATGTTATTACTTAAAATAATTAATAAAATATTACATGATAAAGAATTATTTTCTTTCAAAAATATTGATTTATTATTTTGTTTAAAAACAAAAAAATAAATAAAGGTATATAACATAGATGTTTATGTTACTATAATGATTTTCAGCATTATTTTGATATATGATCAAATTATTTTAATTAGCAGTGTTAGATAAAGGAAATAAACACTACATATAATGAATTCAATATAAATATGAATAACAATATAGATACAGTAAGAGATTTAATTTTATGACAATCTGTCTTAAATTTATGTATTTATCAGCTTTTCTTAAATCTTAATTTATTTATCTCATTTTGCAGCCATTATTCGTGATGATAAAAAGATTCAGAGAAGTTACTCTAGTGGAAAATCAGATATTATAATATTTTCATCATCAGGAAAATTTATATCTTCAAGAAAGGTATATCCAGACTTTTCCAATTATTGTAATTATAAGTTTATCTAATTATATGATTCATCATTGCATTATTAATACAGTAATATTAATTAATAATAATTAGTAATAGAGTAATATCAAAATGTTTCAGTGAAAAGAGCTGGCATGTAACATTCCCCAGGATACTGTCATGGCTGTTATTCCTCCACAGTTATGATTCATCTGTAAACAATACCTGATGATGATTTTAAAGTTTGAATGATGCCATTCAGTCATCTAGTTGCAATGGCAATGACATCACAGCAGGTGTGCAGCTCTTTGTCAAGAGGTTAATGATTCCCTGGTTGCTTGTTGCTGTGCATACAGCCCAACTTCATGCAACCTGTTGAAATGGTTTGTGGGTAAACACAAATGCACCCACTGATGGTGACAGGAAGCTTCAGATGTCATGGCAAATGGGTCCCAATGGGCCAATTGGAAAATCTGCTGGTCTATGTGCTCTGTCATGCACTAGTGTGATCCACTTCCTCTTTTGCATGTTCAAAGACGTTCTTGCATTCATCATATCACACATCAGTATATGATACTCATGTCATTGCCCAACATGCATGGCAACCGCACATTGACAAAATGAGGTGTGCGGCTTCAGCATAGTCTCATTCCCCAACCATTAACTGGTGGAATTCAGCTTGCTGTTGTCTCTGAGGCAACAGGCTTTGTGTTTTTGAAAGTTCAGCTGCCGCAAACTGTCACTGATAGAATTTACGGTCCAAGCCAGCTGCTTATCTCTAGCCCAAAACTGGCTAACATGGCCCAATGTATATGCAAACTTAATCATTTGCATATCTCTGTCACTTATCAGTTCTGCAATTTGCATATGGCTATATGCATTCCTTTGTGGTGTTGCAATTTCACTTTTGAGAAGTGTATAACTACAGTGACCGTATTTTTTGGGGGAAAATAAAGGACATATCGAAGAAAATCAAAAAACACCTTATAAAATTCATAAGTTTATAACATTTATTACGAAAATAGTAGCATACAACAATGCATACATTAAAATTTTAAACAATCTGAATTATTACACATACACACATTGTAAAAATTTAAATAACATTAATTTTGATACTTTTCAGTAGAATTAATTTTTTTATAGCGCCGTTTCACGCTTTAAAGTCATAAAATTCCATACAGTTCATTTGAAAGTTGTATTTGACAGAAATACATGCTTCTAATGTGCTTACTTTTAAATGGGTTTTTTCATTCGTCCGCATATTATTCAGCAATGAAAATATTCGTTCAACGGGGGCATTAGATCCAGGAAGACAAAAAAAATTCTACGATTTTACAAACGTTTTTGAAAATAATTTCTTCTGCTGTAAAATGTTCAAAAATCTCAATCCACCTTTGACGGCAGGGCTGGTTATTCTGTCGCCATTCGTCGATCTTTTTGTTTGTGACATATTTTTTTACACATGAAACTTCATCAAATAATTCGCCATCGAGTATATTTACGGACCAATGATTCGAAATAAAGATATAGCTTTCCTCTACTTTCGCCCACAAAGGGATTTCACATAATGTGACCCATTCAAACACCTCTATTTCAATAAAAAACGCGTCCCACTCATTTAGATAATCTATGCACGTTTTGATAAAATGTGTACACAGCATCATTGAATTTTTTGGCTTGTATATTTTCTGATTTTTCTAATGCTGAGACCACTTTTCTAATAACAATAGGAAGAAACCCCTCATTTTTTCTTTCAACTAACTTTAGCTTTAATTAACAAGTGTATCATCCACCAACTAGAGAGTTAAAAAACTATCACAAAAATCCCCATAAAAGTGTCCACCCCCTGGTACTGTCAGTGGGCCATTTGGTTGGCGACACACTGCGCTCTATGTAGCAATGCAACACTGATCGTGATGGCGTACACAAAACTAACTTGTTCAATATATTATTAAAAATTTTTTTTTAAACTTTGCATCAACTTTACAAAATAAAGGACAAAATGCCTATTTTAGAAAATAAATAAAGTTAAAGGACAGAGCAGTGAAATAAAGGACTGTCCTCTTAAATAAAGGATGTATGGTCACTGTATGTATAACATCCATGAAAGTAAAAATGAATAAATCTTAATATTTTTGACCACTTCTCATAATCGGAGATTAACAGAGAGCTCTTGCACTTGGAAACATTAAGATTTATTTAATTGTTAATTTGATAATTTCAATAAAACAGTTGAAATTGTTATTCTTTGATGATAAAACTATTAGAACATTATCATCAAAAACATGAAAGGTATTTTTGTGATAAATTAATAAGAATTGGAGACTGGAGCAAGGAAATGCTCATACCTTGTAAATTATATCTACTGTAATAACTGAATATTTTTGGAAAGTTCTTTTTTAATGATTAATAAGTAAAACTTCTTACTTTATAATTTTTATAATTTCTGTTATAGTAAAACATAAACTTTGTAAACAAACATTTAAAATTTTATTCCAGTGGGACAGTGGAAAATTGACACATTTAGCATGGTCATCAAGTGAAGATTTGCTTTGTATTCAAGAGGATGGAATGGTCTTAGTCTATGATATGTTTGGAAATTTACAAGACACATTTAGTTTAGGACAGGTATGAATAAATGATATGATTATAAACAACTTATATTTTATTAAAATTAGATTTTTTTTAGGAAGCTAAGGATACAAAAGTAATAGAATGTAAAGTTTTTTCTAGCTACAAACATCTCACAGGTATTGCTGTTTTTACTGGTTCTTACCGAATATTTTATATAAACAATACCAAAGATCCGAGAATAAAGTTGTTACCAGAAATACCAGGTAAACACTTCATATAATATATATAATATATTTTAAAAAATAAAATATGAATTATGAACATAATTTTAATGTTTTTGCCTGGGTAGAAAACAACAACAAATATTAAGATTATTACATTATTTCATCCTTCAAATCCTTCTATTCTAATAGCCCGGGATGTTCCCTAGTGGATGTTTTAGCAGCAGCGGTGTCATTCTATGGTATAAATAATAAATTCCTATTACAAATAAAAATAACAATAATCTGAATTTCTCATGGCATACCCTAATAAAACGCAGCCAAAAATGCAAAAAACTGCATGAAATAATAATATACTGAATTTATTATTAATTTAAATAATAGCTAGCGGTGCCCCTAGTAGCCGTTTTTGGCATACAGTGACAGAAAGAAATCCTGTTTTTCAGCTTTATATATTCAATAGTAGATATTTTTATTGGACCTATTTTTTTTTACAACTTTAATGTTTCTCACTCCTTATTCTAATTCTCTTTAATTACAGTGTGGAAAACATACTGTATACTATTATATAGAAAACAAGAATCGTGTTAACTATTAAACATCCATGACAACTGATATTTAATAAATTAAAGAAAACTGTAAGTGTAAAATATAAAACATTAATTTTATTAAAAAATTTGGTTGTCTAGCATTTAAAATGGCAATTGTTTAACTGTCTGGCATTTTAAATGCCAGACAGTTAAACAATTGCTGGATTAGATCAGGTTATATCCAGCAATTGTGTGGCTTTAATATAACTATTGGGAATAGAGATGGTATATACAGGATTTCTTTTTTAAACTGACAGTAGTAAGAGACATCGTAGAGCAATCTTAACAGCCGGACTGTCGCCAGATTTGGGAGAATGATTAAGGATGACATGAGAAAGAGATTCTGTGAAGAAAAAAAGTAGTACCCAAATTTGCCAGTAGGGATGGATTTCGTACTGTTGTAGCGAAATAGCTAAGAATTTGCATAAAACCCAGCTGCAGTTAACAAACACACAAATGAATAATCAGACAGAGGTTTCAGTTCAGTAACAAAAGTTTAATTAATCAGCAAATAACCTTCTCCCTCCTTCAATATGACCACAGTCCTGCTGGACAACACATTGCATCCTGAACACCATGTTCTCTATGGCCGAACATAACATGTCCACAGGAATGTTCATCACAGTTCGAGGAATGTTGTCCTTCAAGGTCATCAAGTTCGGGACACTATAGACTTTGGACTTTAAGTAACCCCACAAAAAAAAGTCACATGGGATTAGATCTAGGGAGCGAGGCGGCCATGCAAGTGGAAAAAAGTGACTGATGACCCTTTCTTCGGTGAAGTGCTGGTGCAACACATTCTGCACCATGAGACCAATGTGTGGTGGTGCTCAATCCTGCATAAAGATTGTCTTATCCAGGCATTGTTGCTGAAGTTGTGGAATGACAAAACTAATCAGCATATCACGATACCTTTCCTTAGTAACAGTACAGGTCTGTAATCCTATTCAAGTAATGTTCTCAAAAAAGAATGGTCCGATGATGAAATCTGCTCTAAAGCCACACCAAACAGTGCGTTTCAGTGAATGCAATGGGATTGCACAACCTTCTGGGTAGGGTTTCTCAAACGAGATCCTGGTTGTTTTTTTAACCCAGGAAATATCCCGAGAAATCCTGCAAATTTCTTAAAAATTCACTTTTTTTCTTATTTTGTCTTAAGGTTGAGGAATTTTGCAAATAGAAAGCATAATTAACTCATTCACTATCAGAATACATTTGTATTTATTAATTTTAAACCTACCTATTAGTTTTTTTTTATTTTTGCTCATTATGGCATGCCACAAATGATCAATAATCAATACATAGCTTATTTGTGGCAGGACTCTGAAAATTCTTTACTTGTCAGAACCTGTAATATATGGAATAATTGTGCTTATGCTGTCTTACTTTTTAACCATGCCCAGTAGCTTCAATAAATGCGTAACACCAGGTTGTGCAAATTGGGCAAGGATACAAAATATGAAGTCTGCAAGTATGAAGTTTTTCTTCATAAACCTGATTATTAAAGCCAAACGAATTATCAAATTATCGAGCTATAAGCTTGATGCCGCTACTAAAGCAGTCGAGGTAGACAAATCAAGAATACTAGAGAGCAAAAGAAGTACTACAATCTTGAAAACGAACTCAAAATCTTCCAGGCTACAGGTGAAAAAAGACATAATATCTGTCTTCTCTTAAATGCATTAAACACAATTCCAATCACATCAATTGAATCAGAAAGGGCATTCTCAGTAGCAAGACTTTTCATTACTAAAATAAGAATTAGAGTGAGTGATTGGAGTATTGACCATCTTTGCTTTTTAAAATCTTATAAAAGTTTACAATATTTTGTATTATATTTTATTTAAAAAACGAAAATTACCTTCTAAGTTAGAAAAACTTTGATCTAAGTTCATTTTTTTTTAATTTTTAACTCAATTCAAAGTATTTTTGTTGTTGTTGTTGTTGTTGTTGCTGTTGTATGCAGTTTCCAGCAAACTAATAAATTTTTTTCTATTTGTGAAAATTTTTACATAATTCAAAGGTAATTTTTATTATATATCTTACACAGCATTATTAATATGATTTTGGAGGTTACAGAACTTTAAAATTACTTTAAAAAATGAAAAATAATTATATCATTTGATTTCAAGATATTTTGTATACCTTAAAAATAATTAATTTTATCCTGGAAAACAGTTCACTTTTATCCTGGAATCCCGGGACAAGAGAAAGACCGGGAAATGAGAAACCCTATTCTTGGGGGTGTTCTGATGCCCAAATGCGACAATTTTGAGTGTTCACATCCCCATTTAGGTAAAAATGGACCTCATCTCCCCAGAGAATTATCCATGGCCAAGCATCGTTCACCTCCATCCTGGCAAGAAATGTCAGAGCAAATGTCAACCATGTAGCATGGTCATTTGGTTTTAATTCTTGCAGGCAGTTCATCTTGTACGGATAGAACTTGAGAATTTTTCGCAGGACTTGCCATACCATCGAAGGCATCATTTTCAATTGTTGTACCACTCCCCGGGCGCTGCTACTATCAGCAACATCACTAACTATCTGTGAACCTTCAAGAAGTGCAGTCACAACATCACTAACTGTCTGTGCAGACACCGGTTTCCACCCTCTCTCCAGCCCAAACTGCTAAGGATCCTGTCTCTTCAAATTTCTTTATCAAGTCTTTCGATGCATTAATTGATGGAGGACCTGTGCATGGGTTGTTACGGGTTCTAAACTCACAAAGTGCGCCCAGTGTACTCAATTGGTTAAGATGATAAAAGTTCACAAGCAATGCATGCTGAGGTAACAAAAGATTCATGTTAAACTCTGCTGATGTCCAGAATGCGCTTCAGACTTTTGTCCTTGTCTTTTAAACCAAATTAGGTGGCACTGCTGTCAACCACGTCATTGTGAATTTGGATTTTGAGGTGTTACCAGCACATTATGCAAATTATTAGCTGTTTCGCTACAACAGTGCCAAATCCACCCCTACTAGCAAATTTGGGTACTACTAATTTTTTTCTTTATGGAATCTCTTTCCCATGTCATCCTTAGTCACTCTCCCAAATTTGGCGACAGTCCGGCTGTTAGATTGCTCTACAGATGTCTCTGAGTACTGTCAGTTTAAAAAAAACACCCTGTACATACCATATATATGTCAGTGCTGCAGTAATCACTATGGTTATATCTAAATTAATAGTTCTGGAAGTGAAGATCAGGTGGAGGTCTGGGTATCATAACTGGCAATACATGGTAAGCAGAAGTTGTGGGTTCAAGTTCCACTCAGTAATTATTAAATTTAATAAGAGCTGGTACCTAATCTAAGGTGGTTTGGCCATTTTCAAAGAATGGGAGAAGATTGACTGGCCAAACAGGTATTCAAAGCTAAAATCAAAGAAAAAAACCAAAGGGACAATCTAGACAAAGATGGATTGATAGTGTTTAGCAGGCTTTAGAGTAAAGGAATTTAACTTTAATTCAGCCTAAAAACTTGTCTGTTGATAGGAGGGTTTGGAAAAAGTAGTGGATGGTAGTATAAAAGTTTGATTTTTTTACTATGCTGACCTATACACCCTCTGAGTATCAACAGGAAATGATGATGATGTTACCTAATGCCTATCTCAAGACCAAATTACTTAGCATGTAATTATTAATAGTAGCAGTAATATAATTGATCTAACCAGCAATTATTTTGTTTTAGTAAATCATATTTCTCAAAGAAGCAGTTTAAATTTTTATTTTAGAAAATATTTAGTGATTTTTTTAAACAATAAATACAGGGTGTCTGGCTTAGAGACTTAATAAAAGCATATAAATTGAAAAGTTATCATAATTTAATGAAAAGTAGTTGTCATCTAGTATAAAAACTCTGGCAGATTTTTTTTACACTCATATATACTTCAATATGTGCACCAACATAGTTGATGTCAAACTTTATTCCATTTCAACCACATATTCAATAACATGTGAGGTGTGACATTGTCAATACCCTGACAGATTCTCTCTCTCAGATCGTTCAAGTTATGCACAGATGTATGATTTGATGCTTGATTATTCACAAAATCCCACAGGAAAAAGTCCAGTGGGGTCATCTACCATCTGGAAAACTCTATGCAGAAATTGTTTTGTCTAAATTGCAAAGTGGGGAAGAGCCACATCTTATTGAAATTGTGCAAGGAGGGAGTTGTGAAATAGTATAAGTTCCAGTGATTGGAGTAAGATCCAAATAACTTGCTTCAGTCACTGCAACTTATGCTATTTCTTTGTTAGAGTGCACATATTTTGCCATTCTGCACATGTGTTACAGCAGTAATTGCAGCACCAAGGTGTTGTATTTCTCACAAAATCCACAAATGTCAACATAAAATACATACTGATTTTCAGTCTGATATGAATACAATGTAAGTTATAAATTTTTTTTAATTAAATCTATAAGTCAGACATCCTATATATGTTTCTGGTGATAATGTCATTAAATCTATACTAATATTATAAAGAGGTAATGTTTGTAAGTTTGTTTGCAGCAGGTAATCTCCGAAACTACTCGTCCGATTTCAAAAATTCTTTCACCAATATTTAGAATGGAACCTCAGGGTGGACATAGGCTGTATATTATTCCGTTAAACATTCATATAAGTTAAAATATATAATCTAGGTTAAGGCTTTTATCTCTAAAGATGGCGCTACAAGTACGATGCCCTAAGTTTGCTTTTCTGTGAAAATGAACTAAAGCAGATCATCATCTATCTATCTATATAAATAAAAATGTAATGTTCGTTTGTTCCTACCGATTCCTTTGAAATTTTGACACAATGCTGCATTCGAATACGCACGTGTTTTTATATAATATCTGTGTCGAAATCCCCCTCGGGGGAGAGATGGACAGGATTAAGGCTTACCGTAAAGTACTCTGCTTCTATTTATACTATTTTAGATGCAGTTTTTTGCATTTTTGATTGCGTTTTAATAGGGTACATCAACAGAATATACACTACAAACGGATTTTTCAATATTCCCCCCGCGGGGGAGAGGTACAGGATTAAGGCTTACCGTGAAGAACTTGGCTTCTTTTATACTATTTCAGATGTGGTTTTGTGCATTTTTGATTGCGTTTTAATAGGGTACGTCAAGAAAATGTACACTAACGGATTTTTCGAAAAATTCCCCCCATGGGGAAAGTGTTATACATTTATAATAGATACATTTTGAGCCACAACAACGTGTGGCGGGGTCTGCTAAAACTTAATATTATAAAGAGATAAAGT